TGGGTTCCAGGCCAAGCTTAGGCCATCCATTATAGTCTTGACAGACTTCCAAAATTCCAAGGTGTGTGTTAAGGGGGAGGCCACCCTTAAAGTACAATACAAAGATTTTGAAGGTCCATTAGATGTATTGGTAGTTGGGGGTGAACGAACGAGTCTCATTGGACTCGATTGGTTTGAGGCCTTGGGAATACAAGTTACAGGGCTACACAATTTGCAAACATTAGGTCTACAAGAAGTCTGCAAAGAATTTGCAGATGTCTTCAGCCCCCAGCTGGGAGCCTACAAAGGCCCCCTCAGTTTCCTTGAAACTGGACCCCACTGTCACTCCCATTAGGGTGAAAGCAAGGAGAGTATCCTTTGGTTTGAAAGGAAAAAATGATGCTGAATTGGACAAATTGATTCAGCAAGGTGTTTTAGAACCTGTTGACTCAAGTCCATGGGAAACTCCCATAGTCATGCCTCTCAAGGTTAATGGGGACATTCGCAACTGTGCAGATTACAAATGCACACTAAATAAGGCATTGCAACAGCATGCATATCCTGTACCTGTAGTCAGCCACATTTTGGCCTCCCTCAAAGGGGGGCGTGTTTTTGCAAAGCTAGATTTAGCACAGGCTTATCAACAGTTATCTGTTGATGAAGCTGCTGCTGAAGCACAGACCATTGTAACTCATAGGGGGGCATTCAAAGTCAAAAGACTACAATTTGGAATAAATGTAGCTCCTGGAATTTTCCAAAGTGTAATGGAAAACACCCTGAGAGGTATACCAGGGGTTTGCCCCTATTTTGATGATGTCCTTGTAGCAGGAGAATCCACTCAAAATTTAGCTGAGAGATTGAGGGCTGTTTCTTTCAGGAAAACAGGTCTCAAACTTAAAAAAGACAAATGCAAAATTGGAGTGTCTTCTACAGATTTCCTGGGATTCAGAATAGATGCCAGGGGTATTCACCCTGCTGAGTCAAGGCCTTACTTACATCAAATGATGTGCTTGCACATTTCAATGAAACTCTTCCTGTGTGCATCGCTTGTGATGCTTCCCCTTATGGAGTGGGAGCTGTACTTAGCCATTTAAGAACTGATGGAACTCAGGTTCCTGTTGCATATTACTCCAGAACCTTGTCCTCTGCTGAGCGAAACTACGCTCAGATAGACAGAGAAGCCTTGGCCATTGTTGCTGGAATTAAAAAATTCCATGATTTTCTATATGGCAGACACTTCACGGTCTATACTGACCATAAGCCTCTGTTGGGGTTGTTTACTACAAACAAACAAACTCCCCATATCATTTACCCTAGAATGCTGAGATGGTCCATCTTTCTGTCAGCCTATGACTTTTCATTGGTTCACAAACCTGGCAAGGAAATGGGCCACGCTGATGGCCTTAGTACATTACCCTTACAAATGGTAGAGGCTGACCCTGCCCCTTCCATCAACATTCTTTCCATTCAGGCGTTGCCTGAGTCTCCCTTAAATGCCAGGGATGTGGCTGCTGAATCAGCCACGGATCTCACACTCACTTGTGTATTGTCATGGGTTTTGTCTGGATGGCCTGAGAGTTGTCCAGGTACTGAGTTTCAGAGTTTCTGCCTCAAGAAGCATGAGTTATCCACTTTTCAGTGTTGTCTGTTGTGGGGCAGCAGAGTTGTTATTCCTACCTCAATGACACCTAGGGTCTTGGCTTCCCTTCACGAGGGTCATCTTGGCATTGTCAGGATGAAGGCACTTGTGCGTAGCCATTTATGGTGGCCAGGGTTAGACAGGGAAATAGAAGCTCAAGTGCATGGATGCCACTTGTGTCAGCGCTCATGCCCTGAAATGCCTCAGGCTCCTGTGCATAGATGGGAGGAGACACAGTCACCTTGGTCTAGGGTGCATGTAGCTTACCTGGGCCCTTTCAGGGTCAATTCTTCTTGGTCCTTGTTGACAGCCATTCAAAGTGGCTTGAGGTTGTACCTGTCTCTTCCACCACTGCCAAGACCATTCAAGTACTGAGAGGGATTTTTGCTGCACATGGGCTCCCAGATGTTCTGGTTTCTGACAATGGTCCTCAATTCACTTCTTTCAAGTTTCAGGCTTTCTTGCAGGCCAACATGATTCGTCATGCCACCTCTGCACCATTCCACCCTTCCACCAACGGAATGGCTGAGCGGATGGTCCGCATCACCAAGGATGCTTTAAAGAAACTGACCTACGGGGACTGGCACCACAGGTTGGCAGACTTTCTTCTTGCTTACCGCACCACACCTTCAACTTCCAATGGGAAGAGCCCAGCTGAACTCCGTTGGGGGCGCAAACTGATCACCAAACTTGACAGGTTGCACCCGGACAGACTGCCTCCTAGGGTCACCCAACCCAGGGCATCGCGGTGTCTGCAAGTGGGTGCCCCAGTATGGACCCGGAACTATGGGCCCGGTCACTTGTGGGTTCCTGCTGTAGTATGCAGGGTCACTGGTCCATTGTCCTACGAGGTCTCCTTGGACAACGGTTGTGTCCTTCGGCGGCATATCGATCAGCTGCATACGAGACTGGACTTACCCTCTGCAACTCCTGGTCTTTCTCCAGAGAGAGAGGGGGACTATGGGCAAAGAGAAGGGTGTTGGCAGCAGCCAGGGCCAAACGGAGAGGCTGAAGAAGGCCTGTTCCAGGGTTCCGCAAGTGTTCCTAACAGGAATTCAGGGGAACAAGAACTTCCAGCCAGGGAGTCACCCAGGGGGCATACTCTCATTCACAACTACCATTCAGCACTCCATTCAGGGAGAATAACCGGGAGCATCCTAATAACCCAAACAATGCAAGAGAACTGGCACAAAAACAGTCAAGCTGGCCCAGTACTGCTACTGCTTCCAAAAGGAAGTCTTCACACAGGAAGGTAGTCAGAGAGGCAAATCCTGATTCTGGCACCTCCGGCATAGAATGGGGGGCAACAGAGTATTGGGGCACTGCAGAAACCCCAGACAATTCTGTTATGGGGCTTGGGAGTGAAGGGATGCGTTCCCTTGATAGGTCCATTGTGGACTTGGAGAGTTCTACAGAAATGCCAAATATTGGCGGGCACATAGAGGGGCCCGAGAGTCTACAGTTAGGCAGGTCAACCAGGTTCAGTGGGGAGCAAAGTCCTGGTCTGACGAGGCCGGTGGGCAAGCAAGCAGACCAGGCAACAGTCCACGGGGACCACCAGGGTTTAAAAGAGGGGGCAACTCCACTCCATCCTCTGCACAAGAGGAAATAGGGGGTTCTCAGAACCTGAGGAGGTCACAGAAAGTAAAAAGATCTCCCAAGTACCTTGAGGACTTTGGTAACCTTGCTGTCAAAGCAAGGAAAGTGAGAGGGTGCCTGCTGTTGTTAGAAAACTGGGAGTGTGAGTATTGGGCAATTAATTCCAAAACAATAGCCTGGTACCATTCTGTGGTGTGGCTAGTGAGTAGCTGCAACAGACGTGCAGGTCCTTGGGTTGGCACACCACGCTCGTGTTGAGGTCGCGTATAACTACCTATATAGTTAATAAGTCTCATCCAGGGGGGAAGGGGTGTTGTGTCCTGAGCCTGCAAAGGCAGGCTCGGGACGTTGCAATGGTCCTGGGCAGTTGCAAGCTGCCCGGGACCAGACTGAGTGGCGCAGGCTTCGCGCGCATGCGCAAGGCGCGGAAGCGCGCCAGAATGTTACCTTTTTGCCCGGGGATTCTATTAAAGGAGTCAGAGGGGCCTGCGAGCCTCAGAGCTGTGACGGAGAGAGAACTACTGAAATAAAAGGCTGTTGGAATTACAGAATGTGCTCTATTCATTCGCCGTTGACTCGAGGGCTCAACAGTTACTTAATGCATTGATGTGGTCAAGATTTTGAAAACACCAAAAAGATATCCCAATCTGTTAAAAGTTGTTTTCTACCAGCAACCACTTTGGATATTCCACACCTATGGAACATGGGAAATAACCGTTTATTTTAAATGAATTGCTTAGAAGATTCCAGAGATAAGCCAAAGTATATGTTGTACAGTAGAGAATGCCAACCTTTTGGTGCTTAAGAACTATAACTTCGTATTCTGGAGGTAATGGAGGATCAGGGGCTGCAACTGATAGGACAACAGGTATAACTGCCAGGTTTACCTTTTTATACATGAATGGCTGGCAGTATCTAGCCAACTTTAGCTGATCTTACAATAAATCAGAATGCATTATAAGTAGTCCTTGACTTACAACCATCTGTTTACTCACCATTCAAAGTTACAACAGAACTGAAAAAAAAAAGACTGATGGGTGTTTTTTATGCTCACAACCGTTGCAGCATTCCTATGATCACATAATCAAAATTCAAATGCTGGCAACTGGCATGTATTTACAATATGATCGTTGCAGAATTCCAGGGTCATGTAATCACCTTTTGCAACCTTTTGACAAGCAAAGTCAATGGGGAAGCCAGATTTACAATTGTGTTACTAACTTAACAACTGTAGTGATTCAGTTAACAACTGTGGCAAGAAAGATCCTAAAATGGGGCAAAACTCACTTATCAATTGTTTTGGGCTCTGTTATGGTTGTAAGTCAAGGATTACCTATAGTATTTGGATGGGAAATAAAGAAATGCCCATCCAATAGGCTAGATGTAAAAACAATCCTTACGAAAAGGCAATACCAACTTACCCGTATCATTTCAAAGAATACATAAGGGGTGCATGAAGTTGCTAGGTATCAAGTTTGACTCAAATATAACCTTACCTTATATCACACTTATAGCACAGGCTGGAATTTTAATTTAATTTTCCTGCTTCAGACTTATTTGGGTAACATTTTGCTCCAACCCAGAGAGAAAGCAAAAGCTAGCAGTGTAGCCAATGGGGTTACCAAAAAGAGTTTCACAGGTTGCAGTTTCTAACTTTGCTGTAGAAACCCTCTTCTTTTAAAATACAGCTAGGAATTTGCAAAATGTAATTTCAAAATGTTTTGAGGGTCAAATTTTATAGAAGGGCCCATCCAAAGTATGAAGAGGACACCTCAAGAGTGAAGCTGGCATCACTTCCAGCATTTTCATAGTCCTTTTCAGAATACTGCAATCTTAAATGAGACACAAGCCTGACCATATGATCTTAAACTGAGCTGAATAGAGCAAGACTATCACCACTTGCAAATTAAAGGTTTACCTAACAAGCTTGCTTTCCCATTATCATGTTTCTTGACTTCCTTGGCAAGAAGCCTTTGCCTGGCATCTGACACAGCCTGCTGGCCTTTGGAGAGGTTCACAGCTGCCTCTTGAAATGAATCAGACTCCTGAAATGACACTGTAAGTTAATATCCAAGCCCCTTTTTCCAAAAACAATTTGTAGCAAAATGTTATCATGCCAACAGACAAAGCCAACAGAAATAAAAACAGCTGCAGATAAGAAGTCATGCATTAAAACATTAGTTATTTTATAGAACACTGTTTAGGTGTTTCTGAACATTTTGTATAAAGGCAGAAATGAGGGGACCATCACCTGCAAACTCATTGGCATTAATCTTAAGTTTTACATATTTGGCCAAAGGATAAAGTTTTTCCTTTTTGGAGGGGAGGAGGGCAACTGAAGGTCACAAGGCAAAGGAAAATAACATAATGATTTCAGAAGAGTTAGGATTTTGCTCCCTTTTCCTATTTTTTAAGGCTATATATACATAAAATAATAGATGTCCACTCCAGTGGCATCTATTGTACTACAGTCCTATGAGGTCTTAGCACATTTAAAAATTTTTAGCTTTCCCCCCCCATCTTGAAAAAAATCAGCTAGAATATCTTGGCACCAGAGGCCCCTGCTTGTGCCTGCAAATTGCCCAACCTGATGTCTAAAAATTCTTCATGATTAGATAGCAAGAGTAGGCCAAAAGTTTCGAATTTTCTGGACCCATTTGGAATTTTCTATCTGGATATTTGGAATTCTGAAAATAGGTAACAGGCATTCTGAGGCATCATGGTATACACTAATTACAACAGTCGTAGTATGGAGGGACTGTTTCCCATTAAAATATATACTGTAAAACTTCAGATAGGACAGGATGCACAAGAGGCACCAAGAAAAGTGTTGTTGGGCACACTAACAATAAAAGCATTAACTCAGGGGGCCACATTCAATGCCAAATAAGGATAATTTGTGAAATACTGTATATATCAGAGGTCCCCAACCTTTTGGGCACCAAGGACTGGTTCCATGGAGAGAGGTTTTTCTGCAGACTGGAGGGGGCATGATTTTGTGTGTTGCCTGTATCCTGTGGATGGGGCTTTACTTGTTAGTGCGGACCGGTTGCTGGCATGCTGCAGCCCAGTACTGGTCCACGGACCGGGGGTTGGGGACCTCAAATCCCAGGAAACCTATCTATTTTGGGGGCATTTGTAGATGAGTGGCAAAAATCAGTTTTGTTAAGGATCACTGGAAAGGAAGATTCAACCTTCTTTTCTTCCAGCTGTTCTCTAAAAGGTCAAAAGACCTGTTCTCCAGATTTTTTGTCATTGATTCTAGCACTGGAAAAATAGCAGTCCTGCAAAGCATTATGAGTACAAAACAAAATGAGGCTTGAATCTCATTGCTACTGAGAAAATAGTATGGAGTGCTGTGTGTGCGCTTCTGAATAGCTGAGCTGAATCATAATTTCTCTCTACTTGCATCACTCCAAAGGGATCTGTAGAGGTCACTGCACCATATCTAAAATCAGACTTCCCTTGGTTAATTTGCATTAAGCAATACACAAACCAATGTGCCCCATGGCCAAATATGCTGATGAGGTAAAGTCAGTAGTCTTTTCTCACATTTTTCTTCAAGAGTTTTCTTGTGGGTAAAAGAGTTACATGTTGAAAATCATACAGTTCCAAGCTCGGGGAACAGGAAAGCTGAGGTTCTCTGAAAAAAACTCAACTAAGTAATTGTTTCTGAAGCTTAACATTTCAAAATGCGGTCCGCATGCAAAACAGGTGGTAGTGGGGAAGCCCTCCATGATGGTGTGTCAATAAGTTGGTGTCAACTCTTGGCAACCCCACAGACTAATATGATTGATTAACTTGCTGTATAAAATGCCCTACAGATTGTTTGTGTAATATGATTCACAAGACCAATCTGGGGGACAGCTTTCCTCCCCCCCTTTTTATGTGAAAACTCTTAACTGGATAAATAACAAGATTCACAGAGAATCACTTTTGGTTTGGAACAATGTACTAGAAATGGGTAAAGTTCATAAGTTTTGTATATTCCGGCATCCTAACCACTGCTTTACTTTGCATTAAGTCATAATAAAGTTAGTTTGAGCATAAGCGTACATGAACTCAGTATAGGTAATCATTTGTTCAGTGACCATTCAAAGTTACAATGGCAGTGAAAAAATGACTTATGACTGGTCCTCGCACTTACAACTGACACAAACCCCCCATGATTAGGTGATCAAAATTTAGGTGCTTGGTGACTAGGATGTATTTACAATAGTTGCAATGTCCTGGGGTAACGGGATCACCACTTGCAATCTTCCCAGCCAACTTCTGACAAGCAAAAACAATGGGAAAAGCCAGATTTACTTAATGACCACATGATTCACTTAACAATTGCAGAGCTTTGCTTAATAACCTTGGCAAAAAAGGTTATAAAATTGGGCATGACTCCCTTAGCAACTGATTTGCTTAACAACATAAAATGTGGTCTCTATTGTGGTCATAAATCAAGGACTATCTGTAATTTTATACTATTAATCCAATTTGAGGTTTAACTTGTTGTGTGAGCTCAACAAGCATAAACTGAAAGATGTACACATGTATGGAGCTAATATGTATTGGCTTTTTATGCAACATAATTGGTATTTTATATTTCTGAAGTATAGATTACCACTATTTTCTACATAATTTATGCAATAAATCTCCTCACCTGTGGCTCACTTTCCAAATTCTCCTGCTGGCACAAAAGAAACCCCTCTGCCAAGGCAACAGCGGGGGCACAGGTCTCAGGACCACGCTCTCGGACTTGGCTTTGGATTCCCTTTGGCAAAACTATCAGAAATTGCTCCAGAATTAGCAGCTCCAGGATCTGTTCCTTCGTGCGGCTCTCTGGTTCCAACCAGCGGTGGCAGAGTTCCCACAACCGGCTACAGACCTTATGGGGTCCCTCGGCTTCCTGATAAAGGAAGTGGCGGAAGCACTGCCGCTGGGTCTCAGTAGTACTTGAATTGTTGCTCATGCAAATTGTTTTAATTTTCCTATGGTCCCCTTTGGCATTCAGACTATTTAAGATCTGCTGGGCTTCAACCCTAAAAGTGGGCAGGAGGTGACTCATCCCTTCCTGAGACCATTGGCAGGCATCAGTCACAAAGTCAAAGCTAGCCAGCTCATCCCATAAGGTTAGATCTGGCCACTGCAAGGCTCCCCATCCTGAGATTGGACGTAGGACTGTTTTCAAATACTCTTGCCATTGGCCTTTGAGGCAGTGAGAACCCTCTTCCTGTGTTGATATTGCCCATTGGAACAGATCTCGAGCACCACTAGAATGTACTGAAACAGTGTCTTTTCCTGGTCCATAAAGCCTTTCTTGGGCCTCTCTTTCCATCTTGAAAAAAATATCACATTGATTTGGGTTCCTCAGAAGGAATCCACCTCTACCTTACCTGGAGGCTTAGGGACTGAACATCTCTCAACAAAAAAGTTTTAGGCCTGCTGTCTCATGTGTGGTATGTCAATCAAATAAAAGAAAGACCTCATATCACCTCAGTCCTACTTTGGAAACTGTATGAAGATGGTTTCTTATTAACCAAGAAATGGCAACTTACAAAGCAGTTATATCTGACGCCAAGATTCCTCAACTAAGAAAAGTATATCTGCTCCTGAATAAAGAGAGAAAAAAAGTGCAGAAAATAATTCAAACTACAACAGTGTGCTGGCTGAGGAATACTAGTAATTAAAGCACACATCTTTGGTTCCAAGGTTGGGAAACACTGCCTTAAAATGACTGAATTGCCTCCAAAATGGGTCCTTTCCTGTCTGCTTTTAGACACAGCATCTCTCAGGAGGGTTATTGTGATCCACAAACAGAAGGAAGTTGTGTCCTCCTGCCAAAAAGAATCTTACATTAACACCCAAGAACCTTCAGAAACTTTATACAACTTTTAGTTTTTTTCCTCATTCTCCTTCAGCCCAAATCTATACAAGCATTGAACAGATTAACTAAAATGTAACTCCATCATACTACACTGTAACAGGATGGCTTATTTGGAATTTTAACTCAACTGATAAGCAAACCATCCACTGTGGCTTATAAACCCACACTTAGGGCTGAGAGTTATGGATAAACAAGATCTTTATAGTATGTTCGTCAAACCATCTGTCAGAAGTAAGTCTTCATCCTGGTTCATCCAAGCCGGGAATAAATAAGCAAACATGGCGACCACTTTGGGAAGAAAGTTACAGTTTATTGCAGAAAGATGGTTCTTCAGGAAAGAGCAGAGGAGAGAAGGGCTGAGCACATGGGGTAGTAGGTTTTTATACCCCCTCTAGCCTTTTGTTTGGAATAGTTTCCTGTTCCTGTGGCATGAACCTTGAGGCTGTTTCTGAATGTTTGTCTAGGCCTTGATATCTGTGGTTTAATCCTATTATCATATCCTGCTTCCCAGGTGATGGGGCTAATGACTCCGAGAGTTTGGGTGGGGTATGCAGATCTTCTCTTTTGTCTTCTTGATTGCTCTGGCTTCAATTCTCTGATGGTTTTACACCTGCATTTGTATGGGGCTAAAGTCTTGCTTGGGGCAGAGAGATACATTTGGGACCAGGTTTGGTTTTAAAAAGTCCTTTTGAGGAAAAATATATTTTTCTGCCCTTTTTAATATTTCCTTCTCTGGGCTAACTTCCCTCACATCATTGAAATATTCCATGAACTACACATTGCAATAAATAAATAAAACTCATGCCACAAATAATGCAGCAGTCTGTTGCCAGGATCTAACTTGCAGATAGGGGACCTTATGTGCTAACTTGTAATCCATTTTTACAGAGTAGGGCAAGAATTAACAGTCACCTCCTGACTCGAATTATAATTATCACAATTAGAAAAAAAGGAGATGTTAAATTCTTAACTGACACAAAGTTTTTTTTAAAAAAAGCAGGCATTCAAAATGAAGTGATAAATATTTTAATCGAGAAATAGCTAGTTCCACAAGATGTTGTTATATGAGTCCAGAGCGGACTAAGCCAAGCCTTTAATCGGCTCAGGAATTAAACACATTCTACAGCAGTGGTTCTCAACCTTTTTAATGCCACAACCCCCAATCAGTCGTAAGTCGAGGACTACTCAACCGGTCGTAAGTCAAGGACTACTCAACTGTTGCAGCACCGTTTGCAGAATGGGACTTTTGGCGGGCTCAGCAGGGCAGAAACAGCCTGGATAATTCCTATTGGCTTTTGAAAGCCAATAGAATTAGACTCTATTCAAGAGAGTCTATTCTATTGGCTTTCAAAAGCCAATAGAATAAAAGGGAGTAGCACAGCTAAGGAAAAAGGAGAAAAAATGGCGGACTGCGTTGTTTGGCGACCCCCATGAAATGGTCATTCAACCCCAAATAGGGTCCCGACCCACAGGTTGAGAACCACTGTTCTACAGAGAATCTGGATTTGCATAGTTGCCCTTCTCTCCCTCCCTACTCTTCAAGCTACTCTTTAAATCCTCTGAACCTAACAAAATGAAAGGACAGATCAAGCTACTACTAAAGAGTCCTCACCCACCACCATTATGATCTTTTTATTTGGAAATGTCTGCATCCTATCTTCTCCATGCATGAGGATTGAAATACTGCAACCAAGCTCCAAATTTGGGAGGTGGTTGGGGGAAAGTGGCATTTAGGAATTTTAGTACTTCCTCGTTTTGTTGTTCTATAAAATCCATACTGATAAATTCATCCCACCTCCCATTGAACTTGAATTGAAAGTCCCTTCTTTTAAACCTAAATATACATAGGAAAAGGGCAACATTCTAGCCTTCTCTCTCTGATCAACACATGTACAGTCAACTCTCCTGATTCTAATGCACAATAGATCACCATCTTCTCCCAAGGGATCTAGGCGTTTGGCTGCAGGCTTCTGCCATCCAGCTTCCCAATAGGCTAGCTTTTCATAAAGCAAGGGCTGCATGGCCAGCTTTCCCCTCAAAGGCACCAGTGTTTGTTTTCAACATGTTGGCCACATATTTAAAGTTGATCTGGTAAATGTTCTTATTACAATCCCCTTGCTCTATACATATAAGGATGAAATTTCATGTGAATATAGATTGCAAGACTGCAAAAATAAAAATAAAAATGAAGCAATCAGAGTTTTTCATTCATTTCCCTAAAACCTTCAGAGGCAATAGCTGAAGGGCCTTCGTAAGATATCTTCTACTCATCTAGATCCTGTTTTCATTTCCTATTACTAAAGGAAGGAAAACTAGAAGGGGCAGAGCTGGATAAAAGAGGGAGCAAAAGAAAAGCCCTCTTGGCTTAGAATCCGCATCAAAATCAGAATCAGAAACTCACTCGACATGAAAGGCAGCAGTATAAAGAACAGAACTGGGCCAGAAAGATTTAAGATTAGTTGAAAGGCTGAAAAGTGGTCCTGAATCAGTCCTCTTTTTCATTTGACCCTCTTTTAAAGCTTCACGCTTGACCTCGTTAGTTGCTCAGGAAAGACAGTTTTAATACCGTATAATAAAATAAGCAAAGGTTATGAAACTTCTAGATCCTATCAATCAATCAATCACTATTATTGTAAATAGAGTCCGGCACAAACTACTAGGGAAGCCAGATTGCCAGAGGAAACCGAGTTATAAAGCTATATAAAAATTCCATGAATTTTCCACTTCGTCTACCAGCCTTTTACCTCCTCCAGATGTTTGTCCCCTCGATCTTTGCAACACGGTTTCCCAGTTCTATTCATCTAATCAACCCCCCCCCCCGCCCATCCCTATTTCCACTCACTGCTTCTTTTCAACAAAGCCCAGTGCAGCCGATCCGCTACCCCCGACAGACCAATCTTATTAAAATTCAAATGCCAAGTTTTGATCCCGGGAAGAGGAGGAGCAGGAAGGATGTCCTGCACAAAAGCATTCCCTTTTCGCTCATACAGCTTCCTGAGCCTCTCTAGGGCTTGGCGTTCACACTTGGTTTAACTCTTGCCGTATTTCAGATTGATAGGGCAGGATTTTTTTTCCAAGCAGCAATTAAAATAACATCAGATGAAATGGCTTCTTTGCAAGGTTTCCCGGGGAAAATTCCACTGAGGGCGGGAAGGGTTGGTTTCATATGAGATCTACCCGTTAAGTGGTGCGAGAAGAATTGTGAATGAATGCAGGAGCCCCAACCGAGATCAGACTGCAAGAAACTGCAGGCGATTCTTTCAAGGCTTTCAGCTCAATTACTAAAGGAAATCCCATACAGAAGAATTATAGTTGTAACTTGCATTGCTATATGTGTATTGTGACGAAGGGGGTTGCGGCAAAATTCGGTTTTATACGTCTTCAGTATTTCTTCCCTCCTAAATAGGCTTGTTTGCCATAAAAGGCAGATGCCTCCTCGGTTTGGAAGAAGAAAAATAGAGGAAGATGGGAGTTTCTGTTTATAATGGTGATGTTTTTATTAGGACATAAACTAAGAATGTAGATGAAGCTTAATATAGATGAAGCTCTAATTTGGAAAAACACATTCCTTTTTGTACATAAACATCTGCATCTAATAGCTAGTTTCAGTTCTCCAGTTTCAACTGCATAATGTTGGTTCATTATGGATTGGAATGTAGGGTAGTTGTACTGATTGATTAGATAGCTTTTAACATTCCTAAAATGAAAAGATAAATCTTCAGATTGTTATCTCTGTTCAGGTACAGGAATTTAGGAATAGCTTTTAACATTCCTAAATTGAAGAGATAAACAGGTTGAAGATTATCTGAAGATAAGAAAAAAATTGTTAGTACAAATTGGGGTCTGGTTTATCCCTTTAGTGAACTCTAAACAATCTTTTTCCTTACAATTTACGTTTCTGATATCAGGCCTCATTTAATGAATATGTGTGATATGGGATGCAAATGTGTAACATGCATAACAGATGTGTAACAAAGATGATTAGGGGACTGGAAGCTAAAACATATAAGAAACAGCTGCTGGAATTGGGTATGTCTAGTTTAATGAAGAGAAGGATGAGGGGGGACATGACAGCAGTGTTCCAATATCTCAGGGGCTGCCACAAAGAAGAGGGAGTCAAGCTATTTTCCAAAGTACCTGAAGACAGGACAAGAAGCAACGGATGGAAACCAACCAAAGAGACAAGCAACCTAGAACTAAGGAGAAACTTCCTGACAGTTAGAACAATTAACCAGTGGAACAACCTGCCTCCAGAAGCAGTGAATGCTTCAACACTGGACATTTTTAAGAACAAACTGGACAGCCATTTGTCTGAAATGGTATAGGGTTACCTTCCTGAGCAGGGGGTTGGACGATGACCTCCAAGGTCCCTTCCAACATCATCATCATCATCATCATCATTATTATTATTATTATGCTTGATCACATACAACTGATTTCCTATGCAAAGGGGAGGTTGTCCAATCAACTTTCCTCTTGGATGTTTCTATGTTAATGGTAACTATAAAAAATGTTGTAAGCTAAAGATCGA